ATTGGGTCCTAACCGGGTATTAAAGTCCCCCAAGATCAAAATGTGGGCAGATGGATTAGCTTCCAGATTAAGATTGGCAAGATTCTCTACCTCCATCCAGGTGCTATTCAGAGAGGAGGATGGAGGCGGGAAATAAAGGTTAAGAAGAAGAGCCACTCTGGTAAAGAAGAACGCCTGCTAGCCGCCACTTCTCACCCTGAAGCCATTACCGAAGTAATCAGCTTAGGGGAGACAGCTATAAAGCTGTCTGCTTGACAAAGACCAGATATTCCCTCAGGAACAAAACCAAACTAAGTGTGCATAGGTTTCACAAGGTGGACTACCGAATCCAAGCATTTAAAACAGGTTTCAAACATTTTAAGACACTTAAAAATGAGCGAAAACGGACATCGGAAAGGGCTTCAAAAGCACTGAAGCCGGCTTCAGTGCTTTTGAATGGCTTTCCCTTGGGGGAAACATTGTTTCACTTAGCGATGTTTCCTATGGGGATTTTCGCTTAAGGACAGCAATCCGTTCCCATTGGAACGGATTAACCGGTTTTCAATGCATTCCTATGGGAAATGGTGTTTCGCTTAACGATGTTTTCCCATAGCGATGTTTTTTTAACCAATTAACATCGTTAAGCGAGGCACCACTGTATTCAGTTCTCCAACAGACTGCACCAGAGCACAGCGTGCCACTCCTGTCCTCTGAAGATGCCAGCCACAGAGACTGATGAAACGTTAGGAAAAACAACCTTCAGAACATGGCCAAAGAACCCAAAAAACCCACAACAACCATTATCCTCTCATTTCCTATTGACACAGTCAATCATATTGCCTATTTTCTGCTTCTCACCCCTTGAACAGTCTCTTCATTCTCTAGATGTATGGTGGGCATTGGCCTTCTATACCTCCAGAACAAAATATTTTTTGTAAAACTCCCAGACTCTTTGTTACTTACAAAGAGGGCTGCCGGAGCACCCAAGTCTCCTCACAACAACTTTCTAAGTGGATTGTTGAAACCATCATTTTTTAGTATCATCTTGGTAAAGGTAAAGGTTCCCCTTGACAATTTTTTGTCCAGTCGTGTTTGCCTCTAGGGGGTGGTGCTCATCCCCGTTTCCAAGCCATAGAGCCAGTGTTTTGTCCGAATACAATCTTCTGTGGTCAAATGGCCAGTGCGACTTAGACACAGAACGCTGTTACCTTCCCACCAAGGTGGTCCCTATTGATCTACTAGCGTTTGCATGCTTTCGAACCGCTAGGTTGGCGGGAGCTGGGACAAGCGATGGGCACTCACTCAGTCACGTGGATTCGATCTTATGACTGCTGGTCGTCTGAACCTGCAGCACAGGCTTCTGCGGATTAACCCGCAGCGCCACCATGTCCCTAGTATCATCTTGACCAGGTCCTTTTTCCTATGCAAGGAAATACTCATTCTGCTCAGTCTGTATCCTCCACCACCACATTTCTGAGTGGTATCCAGCTCCATGATATCTGTAATGCTGTCATGTCTGCACAACCTTCAATCTTTGTCAAAGACTACTGGTTAGACATCAGGGAACAGCTGGTGTCAAGCCAGCTACATGGAAGAGCTGTCTTGTTTTCTGTTCTTCTGTGACATCCCACCAGCTGGTAAGTGAGCTTGCTACTCATTCGGGTGCATTCACAGAGACCACAACAAAGAAGAACAGGTTGCTTACTTACTATAATTGTGGTTCTTCAAGTGGCTCTCCATGAATTCACACATCCTTCCCTCCTTCCCTCTTGTCACACTGTCATCCTTTAGGCGGCATGATAGGAGGAACTGAAGGAAGGCTCTTAGATGTGCTAACATGCTCTACAGAGAACAGGGCATCTAACAGACTCCTTTTCTCTAAGGTCTATAATGTTCCAACAGCTTCACCCAGGCACAGACGCCTCCCATTTGTGCGAATTCACAGGGAGCCACTCAAAGAACCACCGTTGATGGTAAGTCACCTGTTCTTCCAAAGGGTTTTCAGGCCTTCCAGATGAAGGTGCTGTGGAGAGGTCAGTTTCTGTCACCCTGATTATAATGGGTTCTTCTTGTTGCTTCAGTGGAAGTCCACCATTGGATCCTGGCCAAAGTCTACAGTGCAGTAATGATCACAGGTGGGGTTGGCAGGTCCCATTTCATCCACACCAACAAGAATATATTTCACTTGTACGCTTAACAAATGTTTGCGTAGCATGTAAACTAGTTGTCACATCTTGCAATGGATTTTGTTAATGGTGAAAAATATAGGTATTTTTTCTTATCCTCAGTAGTCAGTCAGATTGCATCTTTATTAGTAGCCCTCCCATATTTTTTCTTTTTTTAATTGTTTTAATAACTTGGGTTAGGGGATGGGGTTCAGAAGGTAAGAGGGGGTGTGAGGGAAAAAAGGTTTGGGGTTGTCGGGGGGAGAAGAAACAAAATATGCGAGCATCCATTCTGTTCATATTGCAATATCAAAATTCAAATTCCGCTTTTCTACTATTTTCTGCCTTCCAGATTTTAGTTCACATTTTGCTCTACTGTATGTTATTCAAGCATTGTCTGCTGACTCTAACCATTTGTAAAACAAGTCCCATCTTTCAGTTGCCTTTTGTAAAGGACAGTCCTTCATCACTTATGATAGAATGTCAATTTCTGCCATTTCCCTTATTTTCTCCATAAGATATTCTTTTTTCGGTACCACCGGACCTTTCCAATTTTTGGCATAAAGAATTCTGGCTGCAGTGACTATATATATAACTATACACTTCTTTGCTTTATCTATATTCTCCGGTATCATATTCAATAAAAACAGTTCTGGGGTTAATGGAACCTTACAAAGCAGTATTTGCTGTAACATAGTATGCACTTTTATCCAATATTGTTTCGCTACTCTACAAGTCCACCACATATGATAATAGCTTCCCACATGTGCTTCACATTTCCGACAGACATTTGATACATCTGTATACATCTTCGACATTTTTTCTGGAGTCATATGCCACCTATAAAACGGCCCTCCCATATTTTTCGACCAATCCTTCTGTCTTCATTCATGCCACACAAAAATCCACTGAGGAGAAAAGATAGAGTAGCTGCACACTGGTAGCGCTAGAATCTCACTGTCTGGATGCACTGGAAGGCAGTTATCATTATCAGTAAACAATGTTTACACTACAAGATATGTCAAGTTAAAATATTGATAGTTGATTCTGTGTTCTTCTGGCTATTTTTCCATTATAATGACTGCAAGACAGCATGAAAGGTCAAAGTGATAGGAGGGATACAGTGTTGTACAACAGTTTCAGTGGTACGATATGCCTTGTTTGCTCTTCTCCCCATTTGTAGCAGAAACCTCTTCTGAACTGGTTTGGGATTCTAGAAAAAAATATGCCTTGTGACAGGAGGTTTGGATCTGATAGCTCCCTTAGTGTGGGTCCCTACTAGGAGAGAAAAATGGGACAAATAATAAATGTTATATGATTCCATTCATCAGATCAGGGAAATCTGAACAAAATTTCCAGTTTATGTCTAGAAGGAAATGTTTGGTGGAAAAAAAAACAGCTGTAGTGTGTGCTCTCAAGTCTCAGGAACTAGAAAACATAAATAAGATTCCACAATATTACAAGTTAAATATGTCTGTGTTTGATATACAGTAGATATAAAATTTGTTAGTTTTATGGATTTGTTTTGTACATTTCTGAGCTTTCCCCTGTTGAGTAAGTCTAGGAATACATTTTAAACTATTAGGATTAAACTGTTGATGAGCATGCCTACAGTATTACCATTCTTTCCTCCTCTTCCCACTCAGCTCATTTCTTTGACTATGTACTAACAGGGTTTTCCTTGTTTGTCTGTTTGTTTCAAACTTGCTCTAGGTATCAAACTGGTTTGGAAATAAGCGAATCCGGTACAAGAAGAACATAGGTAAATTTCAAGAGGAAGCCAATATTTATGCTGCCAAAACGGCTGTCACTGCTACAAATGTGTCAGCCCATGGAAGCCAAGCTAACTCACCCTCAACTCCCAATTCAGCTGGTTAGTTTTGTTTTTTTCTTTTGGGTTTTTATTGTTCTTTTTTTTTCCCGTGGTGTTTTCTTTTCTTTTGGTATCAATGTATGTTTCTTGTTCTTTAATTTGGTTTCCTCTTTGGTTTGTTCACATTTTGGGCAATGCATTCATTTATTTTGTTCCTGCCTGTTTTTGTTTCTAAAGGTACTGTAGTCTTTCTGTGTAATTAAAAGAAATGTGTGTTGGGATTTTTGCATGAGTATGTTTTGCCTGAGTTACTGGTTCTTTCACGAGAAAAACTGTATATGCACAGTTTATATTTCTTCACAGGGAAGAGATATTTCTCACTGGGTAATGCTAATAAAAACCTCAGCACCTGGGGGAGACAGGTGCCATACCAGAAGTTTTTCCTGCAAACCTCTTTTGAAATAAGTGGGGGATACATTAGCATATATATTTCAGTGGGGGTTCTACTCAGAATGTTCTTAGTCATGTTATTTGGACCTGTGCTATATGAATCCTATCCTGGATTAATGCTTGCTCATTCAATTATTTATGTCTCCTCAACAAATTTATCCTGTTGTGTGTAATATCATTTTTCTTTCATGTAAGAGTTGCCAGAAGGCTTTTTATTCAATCAAAAAAAAAAAAAAAGGTCAAACATGATTTGTGCCCCTACTTTTCCAATATATGGCCTTATGGTTTTCATATTAGTTGTTTAAGGGACACATTCATTTCTTTTTCCCTGGGTACTGTGGAGAAACAGGATAGAAACTTCAAAAAGAAGTTAATCCAATAAAGAATTATCATCTGGTCCTGATTTTGATGCTCAACTGCCTTCTCAGTCTTACTATTTCACATTTGTAATATTGTTCATTATGCAACTGTTCACAATAAGGTGGTCTTCACTTCCGTGGTTTTGGAAAAGCTATGTTATGTGCCATCAAGTCACAACCAACTTATAACAGGACTTTCAAAGCAAGTGAAGTACAGGTATTTAAAGAGTGGCCTCACTAGTTCCACACCCCCAGTGAGTTTCCAATGAGGAATAATGCCCAGGCCTCCTGCAAACCTGAAAAAAAACTGGTTTGCTGTTTTCAGGGAAAAGTCAGGTTCAGGATTGAAGCTGTGATCCTGAATGCAATTAAGAGTTTAATGAAGGGTGCAGATAGAGAGGCACCCATCAATTTCACCTCAAAAACTGATAATTTATCTATAGAAAGAAGCTGTACCTGATTGAACCTTGAAGCTGGTCTTTTGGTTCACATGTGCTATGACTTTACAGTGAGATCCATGACCACATGAATGATTATTGTGGACCAAAACAGAGCATTTCCACTTGCTCCAAAGAAAAAAGCAGCCCCTCCTAATGAATAAAAACATGTGGAGACTGGAAAAGAGTGGCCTGGTTCAAGATTAGCATTGTATCATGTGATTGCTTAAAACTAGTTCAAACTTTATGGTACTGTCAGCAGATCAAAAAAGGGGATGAAATCACTGTGTAGGCAGTCCCTGTGTCTATACAAGTAGTCCCTGATCCTATTGAATTATAAATCCCAGAATCCATAGCCATGACTTACAGTTCCTGAACATTTGGGACACTAAGCTTCAAAATCATTGTTCTACACAGAATCAGTTCTTCTCAACCTTAACATTTACCGTATTTCTCCAACACCACACGGTAGAGGCTGTTACCACATGTACAATGTTAAGGAATACCTCCTTCGGTCCACAGGCTTACTGTCTTGTGAGGCTATTCAGTTCACAGGGTCCAGTTTCCCACCACGCCCACTACCTCCATAGGACAACCATACAACATATTTACTCATTTCAAGTCTCCCATGGATTATTTTGTTCAAGAAATGCTTTTAGAACTGTGTGTTTAGAGCAAAACAAGCCTCCAATTCCAAGTGGGAAATGAAGTTGGGATCATTTGCATGTTCACTCCCCTAAACATCGCTCTCTTTGTAGACTAGTTTTCAGTTTGGCATCCAGCATGTTATTTGCCCTGTTTCTCTCTATGCAAAGTTGCCTGCAGCAAGTTATATTTGCCCTGGCGGCGGGCAACACTGGCAATTATAGTCCCATCGCCAGTGTTTCTCTCCTTAGCAATTGAGAGGGTGGTGGTCGATCAGCTTCAGGCCTTCTTGGATAAAACCAATGCCCTGGATCCGTTTCAGTCTGGCTTCATGCCATAGCATGGAAATGGCATTGGTCACCCTGCTGAATGACCTGCTTAGGGAAGGCCGACAGGGACAAAATGTCCTTACTCATCATCCTTGATATCTCAGCCGACTTTGATACCATCGAACACGGTATCCTGGAATGGTTTAACCACGGTATCCTCCTGGAATGGTTTTCCAAGTTGGGGATTGATGGCCTTGCTCTCGCTTGACTCTGGTCCTTCTTGGAGAGCCATCCCCAGAGAGTCCAGCTTGGGGAGAATGTATCATCCCCATGGTCCCTCAGTTGAGGGGCTCTGCAGGGTTTGATCATCTCCCCAATGCTGTTTAACATCTATATGAGGCCGCTGATGGGGGTAATCCGGGAATGTGCAGCTTCATGTCACCAATATGCTGATGACACCCAGATCTACATATCCTTTTTTCCATCTGCAGTGGATGCCGTTCTGTCCCTTGGACACTGCCTGGAGGCCGTCCTACAAGGGATGCAGTCGAATGGACTAAGGTTGAACCCAGAAAAGACAGAGGTCTTGTGGGTGGGAGGGCCTGATGTAAGTGGTTTGTGGAACTTCTTCTCTTTTTGGGGGGTGACTCTCACCACAAAGAATTTGGGTTGCAATGTGGTGGTCCATCTTGACCCGGCACTTACCCTGGAGACCCAGGTAGCATCTGTGATTCAGTCTACCCACTTACATCTACGGCAGATTGCTCGGCTGCATCCCTATCTTAGACACAGGGGCACTCACCACGCTGGTCCATGCGCTCATAGTCTCAGAAATAGACTGCTGCAACACTCTCTATGTGGAGGTTCCTTTGAAACTGATGTGGAAGCTTCAGATGGTCCAGAACACAGTGGCCACGTTATTAACAGGGGTGAAAAGATTTCACCATATTTTCCCCACCTTGGCTGCCTTACACTGGTTACCTATCCGCTTTCACATCGATTTCAAGGTGCTAACTATTACATATAACTGTGGGTCCTGATGATGGCAATTTTAATTGTATTTTAATTGTATTTTAATCATTTTATTTTTATTGTATTGAATTTCAATTGTTGTAAACCGCCCAGAGACCTCTGGGTAGAGTGGGCGGCATATAAATTAAATAAATAAATAAATATAAAGCCCTAAACAGTTTAGGCCCTCAATACCTGGCAGAGCGCCTTCTTCCACCTAGTTCTACCCGTAGCAGTAGTTCCAGTCAGGCTGGGCGGCTGGGGGGTCTAATGCCAAGAGAGGTCCGAAGGGAAAAAACTAAAAATCGGGCCTTCTCGGCAGCGGCCCCTCGCCTCTGGAACAACTTACCTGCAGAGATCTGCCTGGCCCCATCACTGAGGGCCTTCAAGACTAATCTGTAAGTGACTTTGTTCAGACTTTTTTTTTCTGAGTTTTTTCACCCATAGGAATGCATTAATAAAATTTTAATGCATTCCTATGGGAAACCGCACCCCGCAAGATGAAATTTTTTGCGAGTCACCATCTTGCGAGGGACCACTGTATAATAAAAAGGTTCCTAAGGAATATACAGTGGTGCCTCGCTTAGCGACATTAATCCATGCAGGAAAAAAACGTTGCTAAGGGATTTTTAAAAGCCCATAGAAACGCATTAAAACGCGTTTAATGCGTTCCTGTGGGCTTCAAAACTGACCTTATGCAAAGATCCTCCATAGGGGCGGCCATTTTCGGTGCCTCTAAAGCGAGGACACGCAGCGGGCGACCATTTTGCTTTTCCGGTGGCCATTTTGAAACTGCCGATCAGCTGTTTAGAAAGGGTTGCTTTGCCATGATCGCTTCCCCATGATCATCGCAAAGCGATTTTTACCCATAGGGACCATCGCTAAGTGAGCGCTCTGGCGATGGCCAAAACCCCATCGCCAAGTGATTGCATCGCTCAACAGAGCGAGCGCTTAGCGAGGCACCACTGTAGTTGAAAATATTTGTCCCTTTATATTAATAATAAACAGTAATAAAAGGGCATTCCATGTATAAACCTGGTCTTAATAACTGTAGCCTGGGTCTTGGCCAGACTATGAGTCCTGCATTGGTATTAACGCTCTAATAATGAAAACTTTTCAGTTATGGTCAGTGTTGAGCTGGGCATATGTGTGGTGATTTCTTCTTGGTTCATACTGAAAAATTGCTTGTAATCTTAAAAATGGTATGACACTGTCGTCATTCATCACAGTTAATTATAGGAACCAAGTCAAGTAGTCTTGGCTGACAACTGTTAATGTGTTTCCATCTGCTCTCCTACCTTGCCAGGTTCATATAAGTCAAATCCTGTTATCAGGTCTGAGTTTTTTCTTTTCCATTGCTTTGACGTCCCACTTCTGTCTTCTGACTACACATTTCTAGTTTTCCTTCTTCATTTCCCAGACCCTCCCGACTGGTCCTCTAGCTCTGACATTAATCAAATACTGCTGCCGCTATATATCCATTGCTCTTCCCCTTCCCCACTGAAGTGTCCACTGTCCGTCTCCTGATCCTGGTGCCTGTCATTTAAGGCAATATCTTCCTTACAGATTGGAATACGGCTTGTTAATTCTTCAGTACTTTAAAGAAAACAGATCTCTTTACTTAACATAGTTCCAAACTAAGTAGATCCGTATCCATTCCATGAAATAAAGAACCCTTTTCTCCAAAGAAGATAACTTTGAGTTGTGTTGTGAAACTTAGTATATCTCTACTACACAGTTATAGCAGTTTGTTCACACTTTAATCTCCATGTCTAATTGAATCTCTGGATCTGTAGTTTGATGATGAATTTAGAACTCCATGCTGAAGTTCAGGAAGTTCTAAGTAATTCACTACATATCCCAAGATTTCATAGGGCAGAGATGTGGCA